CCCCCGCCCCCGGTTATTTTGCTGCAGCCAGACTGTGGCACAGCAGAATAAAGGTTTCTCCTCAAGAGGGCACAGCACCATTTTTTCCCCCTTTACTCTTCTTTGTTCTTCATTCAATGAATACTTGTTGAGTGCCCTTAGGTGACATTAGTCTAACAGGTCCCATATTAGGAGCTGCTAATATAAAGGTGAAAATGGCATCCCTGCCTTCAAGGAGTCCAGGAGGGAAACACAATAGTTATAATACAGAGAATATGTAATACTAGGAGAGAATGATGCACACAATGCCACCAGCACAGGACAGAAGGAGTTTCTAACTCTGGCTACATGGGTCAAGAAAGGAGCATTCCATTGAATAATGAGAGATGCATTGAAATTTACTTAGAACAAGAGAGCCAGACCCCAAAGAGAGGATGACATCTTGTAGACAGAGATAACTTGTGGATAGTTAGGGCATTGGAACATTAAGGGGAGAGGCTAGGAATGAGGCCAGGAATGAAGGGAGTCTAAGGATGGAGGGACTAATCATTTATTGAGTGCCTACTATGAACAAAGCACTGTATTTGATATTTATGTTTATTTCCTGATTGGTAAGATTTACACTGACTTTACAAAGGAGGAGAGGGAGGCTCAAAGGAGGGAATAAATTTGCCCAATGTCCCATGACTAATCAGTGATGCACCCAGGTCTCCAGGTTCCATGAGCTCTCTATGGGATGACAAATAAGAAGTATTCTCTCTAAAAAATATTGAGCCATGTCAAGACTCACAAAAATTTGTTTATATGTGACCACCATCCCTGGTATGAACTAAGCTCATGGTTTTGTTCTCCGTTTTGGTTAAGAGCTAGTTCCATAAAGGGAATGGAGACCTTAAATGTCAAGACTGGTCTTCCATTCCCTCAGTAGCAATTCAGGTCTCACTGTAGAAATACTTACTGAATAAGATGCTGAGCTCATGTGTCCTTGGATAACCTTGGTCCAATCCCTGCAGCCATCTGTGGGAGAGGCTGCTGGGAGAAGGTACTTAACTGTCTCTTTACAATTTCATCTTTTGGTCCTTGCACTGCCCAATGAAGCCCCCAAACATACCAACTCCCTTTTGCATGTGGCACCTCTTGGAATCCTGGAAGGTGGGTTTTTTTTTTTTCATTTTACTCCTTAAGTCTAAGGCCTCAAGGCCTAAGAATACAAAGTCATTTAAAAATGCCTTAGGGAAGAATACTGAGAGAGCATAGAATCAATATTTATTAAGGATCTAGATAGATTAGAGAGACATGTTAGGAGCTATTCGTATATTAGCTCACTTAATGCTCATGCCAAACCAAAGGGTGAATGCTGTAATCACCATTTCACAAATAAGGAGATGGAAGATCATGTGACTTTTTACCATCTTCTATCTTGTATCAGTGCTAGAATTAAAATATGGGTTGTCTGATTCCAAAATACTTAACTTATCAAAACAGCATTTGAATATTACTACAAATTACTACGGAAGGTGCCCACAACAACCTTGCTTTAAGTAAAGCTCACAAGTGAAATGTCCTGATTTTGATCTCTAAATCCCACTGTGTCTGAATTTGATTCCATCCCTGGATTTCCAAATAGTTGTCCCCAAATTTCCTGTTATTTAATAAACAATTTTGAGTTTGCTTTTTGTCACTTGCTTAAAAGGAAGCTGATTTCATATTATTTGTCCTAAGCTGATAAACATGAGTAAATCCAAATAATCACACTTTTTTAATCTCAAGAGGAACAGGAGGGATAAAATAATATGCTTATGTTACAGAAGATGTTCTAATAATCCATTTTAATAAAATGATGCTATAACTATTAAAAATGGTAAAAGAGCATCTTCACACTGATCCAGGGGTTAGTAAACCTCTACATGGCCAAGGGGGCTGTGTGGTCTGGATTCTAGCCCCTTTCCCCTGTACCTGCATAACTCAGACATTTCATGTCTTACAGCCCAAGTGTTCTAATTTCTGAAATGTAGAAGATAAAAGTCACCTTATTGATGATGTTGCTAAGATAATCAAATCATATAAAGTGCTTTTTAAAGTTAAGACTATACTTTTTTTATTCATCCACTGAATTTGGAAAAAAATAATTAATATGAACTTCATGTGCCTATATTCTCACAAACATATTTTTCTTTTCTGTTTTGAGACCACCACTTTGTCTATGTCATGTAATAACCACATGCTATTTTGGATTTATGTGCCTACTCTGTACGGATAATTTCAACTCTACTTGTGATGTTTCCAGTGAAGGGACCACGTAGGGCTCATGCACAGCACAGAAAATTAGAATAAACTTGATATGTTAGGAAATAATTCTACCAACAAATGGGTTTATGCATCTGGGACTTTATTACCTTAATACTAATAGCTAATATTAATTGGATTTTATATTTGTGCCAGGCACTTTGTATATAGTATCTCAGTAGAAACTGCCATTAGCCCCATTTTACAGATAAGAAAAACTGGGATTTAGAGAGTTCAAAGAAATTATCTGATGTTAGACATTTAGAAAATGGCTGGGATGGGATTGCGACTCAAGATAGTATAAGTTCTGGCACTGAACAATTAGAGTGCTTGCCTCCCCATGACCCACGTTTGACTGGCTTGTGGTGCTGTGGTGCTTGTTTTGGTGCCAGCCACGGTCTTTGTGAGCCGTTTGCCTTCTTGTCTATAAAATGAGGCAGGTGGACCAGAGAATTTCTGCAAAGCAAGATGTAAAGACATTTTCCATGATATCCTAGTACAAGAATCAGGTCTCAGAGGAGACATTTGGGCAGAGGAGCTCTTCTCCCTCACCCTTCTATTTCCTGACCACCAGGGCCCACTAGTCATCAGCCATGGCTCCCAGGTGCTGCTCTTTCACCATGGACCACCACTGAGGTCCAGGTGAACCAGCACTTTGTGGGCAATCTCTGAGGAGCTTCCCAGCCCTGACACCTACCAATATAAGCTGCTCCATCTGTCACCATGTACTTGTTGCGATTTAATTTAGGAAAGGTGTGATTCTTTTGTTCTTTTGTTGCACAAGCATTCTCTCTTTCCAGATCAAAAAATTTCTGTAAGGAGAAAAAAAAATAATCAGGTGAATAGAGAATGTTTTTGGTCTGTTCAAACAGGCAAAGGAGCGAATTATCTAAATGTCAACAATAGACCTCATATTGGGTTATTAAAACCATACCCTCGTTACTTTGTATAGAGGAAGCTATTTTTATTCTCGAATTTATATAGGCAACAAGAGAGAAAATTAGCATGCTCCACTTGGTCTATAATTAACACTTTTAAGCTACAAAATTCATTCTTTCAACAGGGTGAGGGCCAGAAGGTTGTTTAATTCTCTTTGTCTTATTCACCAGGGTGCACTGGCATTTGAAGCATGCCTCAGGGACCTTTCTGTCAAGCATGCCAAAGAACTGAATGAGTATTCTTACACTTTGCATGCATTATGTCAAGGACTAGCTGATTAACTTGGGGATTCATAAAGGTCACAAGAGAGTTTGCCACGGGAACAAACACTTTCCATCTACACACCTAAGTCTACAAGCTCATTCAGTGGGTGACTCAAGCCATGCAAACCATAATTGCAAACCACGAGTCTTGACTTTCAACTTCACCATGACCTAAAAAGCAGGTTTGCACTTCAACCAAGGCCAAAGATGGAGGAACAAGGAGAATGTGGGCTCAGACCAGGAAAGATCAAAGTACGCACTCCTGAGTCTGTTGAATTTGCCACGTGTTGGATAAAGTGTTTTTTTTTTTTTTTTAGATATACGAGTGTGGATAAAATTTTGACTGTGATTGAGCTCCTGGGACTCTGGTGGTTGAGCTCACACCCATTAACAGTGAAAGTCTCAGGTCTGTACATTAGAAAACAAACATTTTCATAATGGCAAGAAATTCTCTGTGTGTGTGTGTGTTGCTGGTGATTGAACCCAGGGCTTTGTGCATGCTAGGCAAGTGCTCTGCCACTTAGCTACATTCCCAGCCTCACCATGGATTTTTTTCTAGGATGTCTTACAGGTGTGAGATCATGTGTATTGGAAGGAAAGAAGAGAGAGAGAGAAAAATGACATAATACCTAAAAAAGGAGACATAGTATAGTTTCAAAATGGTAAGTGTTTAAATTTGGCTTGGAGAAATAATGAGAGTTGGTCTTCCTAGCCTATGCCCCAGCTTGGGAAAGAGGTGACCTCGGTGATCATCAATGTCCCTTCCAATCTGGTTTTTTTTTTGTTTGTTGGTTTGCAAAACCCTTGAGATCCATGGTGCACACACCAAAATCTACCATCCAAATAATGCCTATTTCACAACACAGAGGAATATTCTCCCAGGGCATGGAGAATGCCCTAGTTCACCTTATTTCCCCAGTTCCTGTCTTCCACAAAATTTGCTGGTTTGTGGAGTCGTCAAACTGACTTAATAACTTGAGAATGCTCCCAGGTCACAGTTATATACTCACAAAGTCATGTTAGTATTGTGGGTAACAACCAGCAGTCATCTTGCCTGGACATTCTATCAATATGTCCACGCATAGACTGTTTCCTTCTGAGAAAGATACTATTGTAGAATCAAGAATTGATTGAATTCAAATCAATCAACTTGAAAAGGAGTAAAATACATATCCTAAGTTAAGTCAAGGATGGAATCACAGCTTGAGGCTTTAGCAAGAACCCATTTTCTCTAGAAAGTCGATGATGGCCCAGAAGAGGAGAGACAGATTTATCTGAGAGACTAACATGACAGCAGAAATCAGTCAGAAATTCACTGACATTATTAGATTCTATCATATGTTGTAAGAGACAGCAAAGTCATTTCAAAACTGATTAGTTAATTCATTAAAAAATAAATACTCAGCTAACTGGAACAATCCTGTGAGTTGCAGTCTCTTTCTGTGATCTCCTTGTGGGTACAAACCCACATCAGGGATGTGAGGTGCCCATTCCTCCAAGGACAGAGTTTCCTGTCCAGTTCCCAAGCCCTGTGTCTTAGCAAAGCTCCAAGGCTCCTGCAGATAGGCCACATGCAAGAGTCCAATGCCTACTTTTCCTTGGAAGAGCTCATCAGCCATCTGTGTTCTAGATATTGGGGCCTTAAGCTTCCTTCCCACCTTGGTTTGTTTTGAGCTTAGAAATACATGACCTCTATTTAATAAAATGGCCAACGATGAGCTTTTAATGTTTGGCCTATTCAAGAAATGTGACCATCTGTGTTCAAAAAGATAAAATTGATGAAGTACTGTAGAGCTTATGATGATGGAGGCGGTCTACTTTCCTTGGAATTTCTTGCAAGTCTTCAATGAGAGCACTCAATATTTCATACCCCTGGGAGATTTCAACTGCAGGGGCTTTAGCAGGTGTGATATGGGGTCAGGAAGTTGCAGGACATTGGCAAAGGGAAGTTGCAGGACATGAAAGCAAAATATACCTCAGAGTGTGCCCAAGGCCCAGATACCCTCCTTTCTGCTCCTGCTAGACCTTTTTAGTATGGCAGTAGTGCTCTTCTACCGCAAATGATTCCCTGGGCATCGGAGTCCACAGAAAATGGCTAACCACATGGATTTGGGCATTGCTCTGGACTGGGCTCCCTCTCAGTATCTTAGAGAAGCTTTCTTGTCCCTATGCCTTTGCTAGCTCCATTCTTTGACTTTATTCATTCATACTTTCACTCATTCGACACATATTGGAATACTGTGCCAGGCATCATGCTGGGCACTGGGAATATGATGGTGAACTAGACACCTGTTCCTAGTCTTGCTTGATTACCCCCGGGACCTTTATGCCACTTCAATTACCTGGAAGATGCTGTTCCTGGGCTGAAATAATGCTAAGCATCCCCTTGTCTGTGGAAAGGTTTAAACTCTATCCTCCAGTGTCTCTGCCAGGTTTCTGGGGACTACATAGCAACTTCTCAGATCTGTGATATCTGATTCCAAACTACACTGGTGCTCTGATCCAGTTCCTGGTTATTTCATTTATTTGCAAATCTGACCTGGGAAACTTCCATGGGGGTAACCACAGACTTGTTTCAATTTGTAATACTTACTCTGATTTGTGAACCCAGAGACATAGGTATGGCTGCCTCAGTTTACAAAAACTGGTTGAACAGAGATTTGTGCAGTGACTGGATGAAACTTTGCATTTCTCCCTCACAGAGGGATGAGGGTTCTCCATGTGGGAAAAGTGTAATAGATAGTGGGTACCCAGAACTTCAGACCATGGTGATTCACAGATCTGTTCTGTTCTCTTGGGAACAAAGCTATCCTTCTGAACACACTCACAAGCCTCCCTTGTCCCCACGTGTGTGGTGTCTGGGCAGTGGAATGCAGGCCACTTATAGACCTGACCCGTAAAGACTTCTTCATGGTCTTCCAGCCTCACACTTCTCTTGATTGAGGATCAGAAGCTACATGTCAAAGTGATATTGCAAAGCCCTTGTCATCCTGAGTTCCTCTATACCAAGAGGAACATAGCCCTATTACCTAGAAGAGGGCCTGCTACAGAGATTGGGCTCAGTACACATGTATTGAATGCTTACACAGAGGGCCAGACAAAGCTGAGACCCAAAGGGTTAGTGGCCATTTGTCAGGTGAAACATGGAGAAGGTGTTGTGGGCAAGGGCATAGTATGCACAAAGGTCCTGTGTGGAGGATGGAGAAAGTCAAAGATGAGCTGGAGAATTAGCACATTTAGAGTATCACCAGTTTCCAAACTTGCTTCCTTCAAGGTTTTCAGAAATGGAATAGCATGTGGCCCAGGTGACCAGAAAACAAGTGTGGAAGCCCAAGCTGGGGAAACATTGGGACTGGGGGGTCTTTGTTAGAGCATGTTCCAATGCTCTAGTGGTCACAATTGTGCAGGTAATCACAGTAGGTGAATGAAGCAGTTCAAACAAAATGGAGAGGTTGCAACAAAAATGTGATGGAAGAAGGCTAGACAAGAGGAAGTTTGGGTCTACTGTCCGTGTTTTGTGTGTGATTGTTTTGAAAAATAACTTCCTAGCCTCTGAAGTAGTCTTTACTCTCCTGTTCTTACTGGAAGCCTATGTGTACGTGTATGCTCACAGCTTTCACAGACATGCAAAGGGAATAATACAACCTATTTAATAGCACAGTCAATATAATACTTACAACTTTCAAACTGCAGTTGGCTATTTCTGTGCAAATAGCTTTAAGAGATGAAATAAAGTTAAATGTGAGGGGATCAGTTTCCTTCCAGAAGCTTATAAGAAGTCGAACTTTAACACTTCGTAAAACTAATGCTTCTCTTATTTTTCCATCCAGGTCTGGCCAGTAAGTCCTGTATAAGTAATATGCATATAGATAAAAATAAAGAAAATAAATTAGTTTGGGGAAGAAAATTGACTGTACTATATAGAAAACACTTCAATTACTCTCTGATCATTATTCTGTAGTAAACAAAAAGCCTTGTAGGATAGGTTGAAAAAAAAATGCAAATCTTTTGGGTTAGGCACAAAGAAATGAAGCTTGACTGGGATCCGCTCCTGCCTAAAAGAAGATCTCTCACCACCACTGCAGACTTCCATCATCGTACCTACACACATATGTGCACTAAGAATCAGTTTTTCAACACAATTTCAGTTAAGAGGCTTGAACAGCTCCTCTGTCCCCAAATGCCCCTCTGACCTCTTCTTGGGTAACTGTCTCCATATGAGTTTCTGCTCTGATTATTATCTGAGCTTTTTCACACTTTTATTTCCAGGGTGTCCTTGGCATCACCTCTCCTAGCCAAGCCTCCCAGGACTCCTCTACCTCCCACCTCTGGGCTGTACATTTGGATTCTTCCATCAGACAATCAGTTTCTTGACAGCCTCAACCTCTTCCTTGAATCCTTAGCCCTCTGCCTTTAGGGTTAAGGATGCCCTGATTCTTCTCAAAGGCCACAGCTTCTCTTAAAGACCTGCCAAGTATTTCCCCCCCCACCACCTAGCCACTTGGTTTCAACTGTGAGGACAGCTTCCTGCTCTACCTCCTCGGTTCCTGCCCATGTCACTTCCAGAATTGTGATTTAATTCTCCGGTGAAAACCAAACGACTTCCCCATCTTAAGGACCATGACTTGCATACTTTATCTCCTCTGTTTGTAGGGCTTTGTTTACTCGTTCAAATCTTGTCCTAATTCTGGGCCAATCCACTGTTTGGGCTCATGATAAATTATTCAGAACCTTAGCTTGTCTGTGTCATGATCACTGCTTCTTCACACATCTTCTCTTTGTGTCCGATGCCAGCCTCCTGCCCTTCAAGTCCCCTGCTCTTCCAATTGCATAAAACCTGCTCTTTGAGCTTGTGTGGGCTGCAGCCCTAGGATTCCTCCAATGACTCCTGTCCTTCAGCTCTTCCCTGTGTCTCTTGCCTGCCCAGTCTCATTCCAGGTCTGATAATCTGCATAGCACTTGCCCTTCCATCTTCCTCTCCCTTATGACTGAAACTTAAATCATGGGTAAGTGCTGTAATTTTCTTTTTGTCTGCTTCTATACCCACAAAACTGAGTCCTACTGGGAAAAATCACCTCAGTCTTGTGCTTCAAGTTGGTATCTCTGCCTCCAGTCTTATCCCTGTCAAGTACCTCCTCCATGACCACCAAAATGACCCATGTAAAAACGCATCTGGTCATTTTTTCCTTGGATTAAAACACAGGAAGAGGCTCTCCAAACTCACAAGGCTCACCAATAGATGGGGCCCCCTAGTTCCTGGTCCCTGCTTCCTCTCCAGTTTGATCTCTCACCACCTTGCCTTGGGCTCTGTGATCTAGTACTGAATTTTCTAGGCTTCTTTCCTCCATCTGAAACTTTGCTCGCTCAAGGTGTCCCTTTCATTTGGAAAATTCCATTTCTTATACTTTTCACAAATGTTCATGAATAATTTGAAATGCAACTCAGATAGCAGGTCCTCCTGTAAGCTTCCTTTAACCCAGGAACTGTACCATAGATGTTCTTTCATGGAGTGGCTCTAATATTTTTTTGCACACACCTATTGCTCCATCTGTACCACTGCATTCTAATAAGATAATCTATGTTTATCTGCCCTTTTAAATGGAACTTCTGTGATCATATGCTGTTCATGCTTTAACCACAAGTACATGGTGCTATATAAATATTTGTTAAAAAAACAGATATTAATAAATGAAAGATATTAATACAGTCGTTCCTTTGTATCTATGACTGAACCATTTCGAGACCCTAGTCGATGCCTGAAACCACAGGTTGTATATATACTGTGTTTTTTTTCCCCTCTACATATATATCCTGTGTAAAATAAAATGTATAAATTAAGTAAAATAAAACATTAACAATATTAATTAACAATAGAACAATGATAGCAAGATACTATAATACAAGCTATTTAAAATTTCTGACTTGTTTATTTCTGGAACTTTCCCTTTCATATTTCCAGGTAACTGAAGCTATAGAAAGTGAAACTGTGGGAAGAGAAGACTATTGAACTCAAAGACTAATCAGGCTACATTTTTATTAGCCCTTCACACATTGACCAGTTTCCTTCTGAAAGATGCATTCCAAGTAACTGAAGAAATAAATCATGAACAACCCCAAACTGAGACCTAAATAATTACGTGAATTGACTGAAGGAAGGCAGCTTGATTGCTATAGCAGGACGAGGTGGAGCTGGGCTTCTGATTTTTTTTTTTTAATTTTATATATTGTTTTAAGTTGTAGATGGACACAATACTTTGATTTTGTTTATTTATTTATATTTAGGTGGTGCTAAGGATTGAACCCAGTGCCTCACCACTTCAAGGCAAGTGCTCTGACTGCTGAGCCACAACCCTAGCTCCAGGGCTTCTGATTTTTTAACTACAGTATTTTCTTAGTCCTACATCACTGTTCCATTCACTTCCTACTACCTTGAAAATTAGAAATTCTAAAACTAACACTAAACTATGGTGTTTGTTTTGTTTTTTTTTTTTCCCACAGGCTGACAATCATTTCTAATTTGGGAGTGTATGAATTTTTTTCTTTTTCATTTGGATACTGGCAGTGTGTAGACTAAAAAAATCTTTAAGATATTGATTAATTTCATGAACACAATAAAATCTGATAGTATTTACTTGTTCAGTGAAGTTTAATTGACTCCTGAAAAACTTTTCCAGTACTATATAAACATGAGTAACCAATCTGACCTTTTAAAAAATATCATTCATTTGACTGAGAAGACTTTCATTATAACCTGGATATATGAACTGCTTATTTTTTTCAATGACCTTTTGTTTAGAAAGTTAAAAACACCTTTTGTTTTGAAATTTTAAAAATATAATAAAAGAAGGATTCTCTGAATAACATCTGAAATGATAGATGAATAACCAAAATGCAGAATTTCAGGTAGGCTTCAGTTCTTTAACATTCTTTTAATTTCTTTTCCTTTAAGTACTTCATAATTCTTTTTCCCTTGACCATGAAGGATTCCAGTTTTGTTTATGGGTCTTCATGGAACAAAGGTTTTGTCAATCTGATCATGCATCTTCCTAGCCTAAAACAGAAATCCATGAATTTGCCTTATTCTCCTTTTACATAATAGGAAAATTATGCAAAACCTATTCGTTTCAATGTCCTTCCAAAATAAAACTGACATCCAGAACTGAACTAAAATCAAATAAACAACAGAAAGAAAATTTTTAATAAAAAGGAGGGATAAAAAATACGTGAAAGTGCGTGTGTGCAAGGGGGCATCCATGAATGTTCAAAGGACACACAATATTTTAAGGTAAAAGTGTCTTAATCATGTGCGTCTTGCAGATTAAAATGCTTCTCCTCTGACTGTCATCAGGAGTGATCATTTTCTGGAAGACTGCAATTCTGTAGTAATTTGCATAAAGAAGTTACATATTATGCATATGTGGGGTTGGCAATATGAAAAATTTCAAGCCATATAGGGCATACTTAATCATTTAACCTCAGTAAATGGTTATTTTGAAATTATAATTTTCCAAATTAAAAATGTCTTTGGTTTCACTCCCCAAAAGTGCATTTTGAAAAGATTTCCTGGGTTAAACTAATTATTCAGAACACTGAATCTCTACATTTACAGTGAGAAAGCAAAAGTGGGAGAATGGGAGTACCTGGGCATGGCCATGCATATATACATGCAAAGGCTTTTGTAAAGAAAAAAATAATTTCTGTCCCTGAATTTATTTCAAGGATGCTGAAAGAATGATGAATTAATTTTTAAAATACTACATTTTAAAGATGTTCTTTTTCTTTCCCAGAGAGATGCATTGACTGGGAACATATATATTTTTAATTTCCTTCTCCTTTACATTGAGAAGATACATGAACATTAAGCATTTAATGAAGATTGCTCTGAATATAAGAAAGAAATATCTCCTTTAAGGAAAATCTGGCAAGACTACTCAGTTATATTCAGCACATCCTTTGGTACATCCTCATGAATAATGTTAAAATATATTTTTCCAAATAACAGTCTATTTTTAAAATTTGTTGTTGCAGTGCTGAGTATCGAATCAAATGTCTCATGCATGTTAGGTAAATGCTCTACCACTGAGCTGAACTCCTAGTCTTTGTTTTATTTTATTTCATTTTATTACTTTGTATTTTAATTTTCAAAGTGAGAACTACCTAAACTTTCTGAAATTGCTTTCATGCCAATAATGTGAACTACTGAGCTATTTAGGCATGGCCAGAACCTAGTACCCCTCCTCATTTTTTTTTCTTGGTACTGGGAATCAAACCCAGAGGTGCTTAGCCATTGTGCCTCATCATCAGCCCTTTTAATTTTATTTTTGAGACAGGGTCTTGCTAAGTTGCTTGGGCCTCTTTATGTTACTGACCTTGAACTTGAAATCCCCTTGTCTCAGTCTCCCAAGTAGCTGGGATTAGAGGCATGCTTTACAGTGCTCAGTTAAGACCCTGATCTCTAATATTTAGGGAGGAGATGTATCTGTGGGTGAACTGCAAATGCACACCAGGCATATCTGAACAGTGTGCTCTTCCTAATGCAATGGGATAGTGTTTCCATGTGCAGGCTGGTTTATCCTGTGATCCTTCATTTAATGGCTGGCTTCGAAAAACTGGGTTATAACTAGAGGGTGGATACTCACTGACCTTTTGGTGCTTGTGCTGGAGATAGGCAGGTAGTCCATGACAGCAATGTACACGTACTGTTTGGCGTCATCTATCACGCTGTAGATGGCATCTATGTCAAAACTTCTGTTTTTAGGGCAAAAAAGTTTGGGAGAATTCTGTGAAGACAAAACCCCCAAATTTCAGAGCATTAATGGTTGGCATCTGAGGATTTCTTTATTTGCTTTAAAGGGTAGCTTCAAATTAAATTTTTGCAAACCTACTTTCTGCTTCTTCTGCTGCTGCTTTTTCTCCCCACCTACCCCCAACCCCTGATTTTTCCTTTTTAGTACTGGGGATTTAAACCTGGGGTGCTCTATCACTGAGCTGCATTCCCAGACCTTTTTATCTTCTTCTTCTTCTTCTTCTTATTTTTTGAAACAGGGTCTCAAAATAGAGTTGTTTATTGTCTGTCTAAATTGCCGAGGCTGGCCTTGAACTTGCAATCCTCCTAACTCAGCCTTCCTAGTCACTGGGATTACAGGTATGCACTACCATGCCTGGCTATTTACTGTTTCTTGATCAGATTGGACAAAAATATTCTCAGTCTTATGAAAGTTGAGACACAGAGAGATAAAGAAGAGATGGGATGGGTCTCCTGCCTGTCCTTTATGTCTAGTTTAGTAGACAATTTTCACTTTTAAATACAGACATCTACACGTTTTGGAGGCGCACTCCAGCTCCAATCTTACGTGATTCTGGAATACCTCTCCATCACAGATAAGTTGTGAATTTCCTCAAGTGTTACCATGTAAACTTACATATACATATAATAAGCAATTTATTCCAGAAGTCATTTCATTTGAAAGGTGAAGTAGCCATGAAAATATTCAAGACACAAAAATCAAAAGATCTTGGTGTTTCTTTATTTATTTTCACCTGAATCTTTCACTGAAACAGGAAGAGGCAGGGATGTTGATTGTCGAGAAGGGGCCATCAATAATCCTACAGGAAAAATCTGGTTGAGTTATTAAGATGCCCAAATCCATCAGGAGAGTCAGAGAGAAAGGATATTCTGCCAGACTTCAGCAAAATGAGAAAAGAGGCAAATTATGCTTCAGGTATTTTTCTCATGTTGCCTGAAGTTTCCATCTTATAAAAATATGATGTTGCTATGGTAAGGGGGGGTGGAAATGTAGTTTTTTTTCCCATTATTTTTCCACTGGTGGGGATTGAAAATAGTGTTCCCTTTAGTTCTTTTCTTTGACAAGTCTCGGTGCACAAATATTGCAAGGAGTGGTTATACCTAAAGGCTGAATAAATGTTCCTGAAACTGCCTGGAATAAATAGCAGTGTTGGACAGTCAGAGTCCCAGGTCACTTGTGGTACAGTTCTTTACACTGCATTCGTCAAAATCCCTGTCCCAGCTCACAGGTTCATGAAATAAAGTGTCTGGAATGGATGCCCACTTGAGATGAAGTAAGGGGGTAAGAAACGAGCAGGTTGAAGGTCACCCCCTAACCCCAGGCATCCCTATTCAGAAAGTCCTCTTGGCAGGTGATAGTCAGGATGTGCTTTCGATTATTAAAATTATTTTTTCTTTTGGAATGAGGCTGAGCTTCCAAATTTTAACAACAACAAAGACACAAACAACCAAAACATAACAATGCTAGTCCTACAGAGATACAGAGAGAGTCGATCTGTTACCCAGACAGATGGGTACTGCTTCTGCAATGTTTCTGGTGTCGGTCAGTCCCTCCCTCTTCTTCCTGATGGTCATTTCCTTCATTCAGGCACTCATACTGTTTGCAGGGGGTTTGTGATACCTCCTAGTGTATTGCCTTGCCTCCATGATGTTTAACAAACACATGTCACTCTCTGGATAAACTGACTTCTGGTCTTGGGGAATCCAGTCTAAACTCATAGGGAGGGATGTGTCCATAGCTGTTGCTCTGTCTCCCTTATTTGCTGGCTACTGTGCAGTCTGTGTCCCCAAAACTGAATTAACCATCAGCTCATGCCTGTGTCCTCATCTTCTTTGCTTCTGGGCATTTGCTCAGCTGGTATCTCCAGCGGACATCCTTCCTTAGTGTTGGCTACCCACGTCCTATTGGCTCAGTTCAAATTCAGCTCAAATATTACCTCCATTGAAACTTTCTTTTAGATCCTCAACCAGTGGTTGCTTCTCCCATCTCTACATTCCCATCCTATATATTTCTTTTTCTTTTTTTACCATCTTGGCCATTTCTAACGTCAAGGGCACCCTGTATATTCACGTTGCTATTGCAACCATCACCACCAGCCACCTCTGGAATTTACTTCTTATTTATCATATTCAAATTTATATTATAATTACTTGCATTTGCTTCCCCTCCTCAGCTGGACTGTTTCTAGACTGATTTCAAGGATTGTCTTTTATTCATTCTCCTATATATATCCGCTAAAATTAAATATGCATATTATTTAATTTTCTCAGCCCTTTGGGTTTGCTTTAAACATGTTTCAGGTTGTTATGAAGAAGCTGAGGATCTCAGCTCTGGACAGGCTCCTGGGCTAACTCTGAAATGTGTCCAAGCACCCTCTCTTTTTCAGTAAAGAACTTCCTGATAATATAATATATTATATTATCATAATCCCAAACTGGATTTTGTTTTCAGAGAGAAACAAATTTAGGCAGAGTTGTTGGTGGTCTCTCTACGTTTGCTGTCATCTTACAAGTTTGGATATAGTGTCATTAATCTATATAGAAAAGAGTAAAAGCTTTGGTGATACAGGCCAGACCCAGATTCCAGCACTTATGCACTAGGCTTGTCTCTTACACCTTGAATTTATGTTTTTTCGTGGAGTTAATAACAATAACACAACTTTCTCACTGGTTTACCTGCTGTACCCCTCTTCTATGCTTGTTTTCATTCAGTCAACAGATCTTCTTAACTGCCTGCTGTGTTTCAGGCTCTGGTCTGGGCACATGATATATAACTGTGATGAAGGTATGACCCTGCTTTGTGGAGCTTCACTCTGGCACAGGTTGCCTGGCACTGCATTCATTTGTCTTTGTGTTTGTACTCTAACTCGTGAGCTGCTTACTGCTCTATCTCTTGCACCTTTTCTCAGTAAATGTCTGTGGAATAAGTGTGCAAGTATTTCATAAATTAATAAATGTTGGAGGTCTGTCCAACCCCCAACCTCCACTTCTAGTTAGAGTTTCTTTATTCTAGGTATTTCCAAACTCATTTAAACATATCTTCACTAGCATTTACCTGCCTCAATGTTTCCCATGCTCCCACTGCTGAACACAATGTCCAGAACTTGGAAAGTGCTCCATGTGTTCAGGAAGGGGAGGAATGATTATTCACATCAGTCCCCTTGCACCTGGGTGCTGGTGGTACTTCCCTGTGTGTTCTAGGCAGGTTCCAGGGTCCTCTACCTTTATAGACAGTACTACTGTCTTTAAAGTGTTTGCTCAGGGTATACATGAATAAATAACAACATAAAAGAAGATCTACTGCTTTGGTTTAGGAAATTAATGTTCCAAATGTAACCAGAGAGAAGGCTGTTAAGTTTCCCCTCTTAGCACTCCTGAATGAATTTTCGGAGTCTGACTTGGGGGGTCTCCCTTTATTCCACGGTAAAGTAGAAGAGGGAAATTATAAATCCTATTCTATATTTCAGTTCTGTGATAATCTCTTACCAGTCAAGAACTAGTGATATATTTTGTTTCTAGGTTAATTAAGGTTTCTGTCATAGACCTATAGGTGCCTTACATGATATGCATGTAATTTATTTTGAATAGTCACTCAATACTTGTCTTTTAAAGACTTTAGCAGATTTTTTATTATTTAACCATAGTTTCCTGGTTCTTAAGCCTTATCCTCTATTTGTAGAATAGTTCCATGAAAATGTAATTAAACATAAAAAGACAAGCCACAGAATAGGAGAAAATATTTGTAAGTCATGTATGTGATAAGGGCCTTGTATCCAGAATGTAGAAAGAACCCTTGCAACTCTATTAAAAAAAAAACAAAAAAACAAAAAACCCCTTAATTTGAAAAAAGAAAGTATTTGATAAGCATTCCTCTAAACAAGATATTTTACAAATAGCTAGTAAGTCCCCCCAAAGATGCAGATCAATACCACAATGAGATTCAATTTCACACCCATAAAGAGGGCTAAAATAAGACATAAAAGTAATAAGGATATGGAGAAATTGAAATATTCATATATTGCTGGTGTGATTTTACAATGGTATAACCAGCTTGGAAAACTGTTTGGAAGTTTCTCAAAATGTTTAGCATAAGTACCATAGTACACAGAAATTCCCTTCCTAAATATAAACCCCAAAGAATCGAAAATGGGTATTCAAATAAAAACTTGTACATGAAGGTTCATAGTGGCACTCTTCACCATAGCCAGAGACAGAAACACCCAAATGTCCATCAACTGATAGATGCATGGACACAATGTGGAATGTCCATACAATGGGCTATTATTTGAGCATAAAAAGAAATGAAAGAAGTAATGATCTACACCACAACATGGATGAACCTTGATAACATTATATTGGCTGAAAGAAACTAGTCACAAAAGACTGCATATTGTATCACTCCATTAAGAAGAAATGTTCAGGAAAAACAAGATCATAAAAAGAAAGTAGATTAGTGGTTGCCAGTGGTTGGGGGAAGAGAATAATGGAGAGTGGCTGCTAATGATTATGAGGCTTTTCTTTGTGGTGAAGAAAATGTTCTGAAGTTATAATGGTGGAGATGATTGAAGAACTTTGTGACTATACTAAAACCATTGAATGGTATACTTTAAAAGGGCGGATTTTGTGATGAATGAATTATATCTCAATAAAGCTGTTAAAATATAATTAATAATACACACTAGAAGTTCTAACAAAGAATATGGTATTTTTTTGACAGCATCACTGAGTTTTATTCAACTTCTGTCCTCTCACTAAATATATCTTAGTATACATGACTGATGTGTGAATGAACTGAACAATAAACAACAAGACATCCCACTCATCTATCAGCTAGATCAATAAAAGTACATCTTGAACTAACTAGTCTTTGTCCTGGAAAGCAAGTGCATAATTTTAAGGGCTCTAAAAATATATCTATAACACAAAATCTCAGCCAGCCATTATTTCTATCGTGGGATTTCATTTTATACGTATATATGTATATATATTTAAAAGAATTATCTGGCCCTAATCTATAATAAATTACATGGTTAAATCTAACCAAGGACCTGTTTGTGGTCCATGAGAAAATTAGATATAATCCATATTTATATTATAACTTAAAATTTATATTTAGATGTTTTATCAATTATCTAAAGTTTATTTTGGGGATGATTATTTTTGAGATCTTCAAATTTTTTTGTGTGTGTATGTGCAACTTAGTGTTGGCACAGTCAGTTTATAAACATAGACTATTTTGAGATGTTTTACAACAGGAGCTCTCTCTGGCTCTTTGTTACCATGTCCTTTTGTGGTGATGTTCTGCCTCACCTCAGGCCCAGAGCCATGGAGCTGGCCGTCTATGGACAGAGACCTCTGATACGGCGAAGGGTAGACTCCCAGTGAAAGGCTGGCTCAGTGTTGAGACTGATGGCATGGCCAGGAACCTACTGGATGGCATCAAACACATGGTCATAGTGGACACATGGAATACACCCTTCTCTTCTTGCCAACCTCATCAAGAGATTCTTCAATATTTTATGGTATCAATTTCTGACCACTGAAGGGAAGGTCAGGAAGAAGTTGCCAGATGGCTTTGGGAGTCCCAGAGCTTCAGAGATTCTAGGGATGGAAGGTGCAAGAAGTCTCCTGTCCTAATCTGAGTATTTCTTATTTTTTGTGTGCACTTCACCTTATAAATAGAACCCAAAGATAAGAGCAATTCCACATGGGTGCACTACACTTTTATGTAAGTAGCATCCCTGAGATTTCACATCTCCACTACCCAAATCTCAAGTGTTCCCTCTTCATGATCTTCAGCTGTGACCAGGAGGAGCTGTTTGATGGGGAGGTGCACGACATGTGGTGAGGCACCCAGCCACTGAGGCAGGCAAGCCCACCCCTGCCACTGGCCCATCTCTTGTTTCCCTGCACCTGAGATTATAGAGATGAAGCCACAGAACCCCCTGCAATCTCCAATGCCTTGCAGAGGTGTCTTCTCCAACAGCTGCAACCCATCGTCCCTACACACTTCAGGTGGGGGCCTGAAGATCAGGAAAAGTATTTCTGCTGGCCAACACCAGCTGAAAGTGAATCAAGTCTACATTGGTTCAAGGGGAGCACCTCTGTCTATACTATGCCAATGGGAACAAGTCCCTGTCTATATTGGCTTAAGGAAAGTGAGTGCCCATCTACCCTGACTCAAGGTAAGTGAGTATATACTGTGAGCAGTAGAATGAGGCACAGTGGTCCAAGACTTGGAGAGGATGGCTGCTGGGCTCTGGCCCTTGCTCTGAGGCCTCTATTTCTCTCTCTCTTTCTCTCTCAAAAAACAAAATAAAAAGCCTCCCCAAATAGAACAAACAGAAACACAAAAAACTACCTTTAAAAAAATCTCTGAAATATCAATTTTATTATACAATTTGTGAAAAAAAGAAATTCAGAATAAATTTCTCCCAAAGCATTGAAGAAAGGACAAAGAGCAGGACAGGGGGAAGTGTCCCAGGGAAAAGTCTCTATGATGTGTTTCATAGGCAAAAGCTTCTCTGATGTGCTTCACTGTTGGGAGCAGAGGATTCCTGGTGGAGGTACATGCCCTCCTGCCTGGAATCCTCCCAGAGACGCCAGAGCCAGTTGGCACACCTCTTCCCACAGCATGATGTCATCATCCACGGAGCTGGCTATCTGTCGGTTCTGTCTGTCTGGGCTCCACATTTCCACTGGAGTCGCTCTGTTTCTGGACAGTGGTCCACTCTGTTTCTGGATATCATGGTATACAGCAGAGTTGCTGGATGCATTTGGCAATTCTTGTCCTCAGTCTTTTCTAACCCCAGTTGCTGTCTCGGGGTTGTCCTATGGAGGTCCCTTGGGAGGATGAGCAGCTGGGCACAGGGTGAGGCTGGGAGGTTAAGCTGGGAGGGGGTGTGTTCTCATGGAGGAAGCAGAGAGGGATGGAGGGCACGCTGGCACTTCTAGCAGCCTTCTGCTGGGACTGCCTGGCTTCCTAGGCTGCTGCTAGGAAAAGGCTAGGGAAAGGCTCACTACAACACTTCTTGGGGCAGACCCTGGGAAGATCTGCAGGGCCTGGGCCATCCTTGGGCTTCAACTGGAGTGCACAGGCCTCCTCCTGGGTTTTCTGGTGCTCGAGTATGCAGTATGTCACCATCATCTCATCAAATTTGCGACTCACCATAGATACCCTGGTGTTATAGGGGTGGTAACCCCTGTTGATCATCATGTGCATAATTGTGGGATCCAGGAGTTTGGGGAGTACCTCACTAGGAGGGCTAGATGAAGCTTCATTGCCCTGGCTCAACCATAGGTGCCCCACTACCTGGCCTATGGAGGGCCTTTGTATGGGATCCACCATTAGATCTCATGGATGAGGCTCTGCACTCCCTCAGAGACCTGCTGGGGAAGGCCCTAGGCTGCCTCCTTGATTGGCTTCTTCAGCTGCCTAATGCTGCTTGCTGCACCATGGGCCTCTCCCTGTGAGCATTATTCTATGCTCACTCAGGCTCCAGACATCTGCTGCCCACGGACACTCTCAGAGTCAGTGTAGAGGAGAGTGCCAAAGGACCTCTTCAGCTTCTTCCCAGCTGTGAATCTGGTGCTCAGGTCAAAGTTGATGAGTTTGACATTGCTGATGGCATCCACCACGGCATTCTCCAGCTTCAGGTCCAGGTGCACAATCCCCTTCTGATGGTAGTACTTCAAAGTCCACGAGATCTGCCTGCATAGTCTATGGGCCTCCTCCTCCAGCATGCCATCAGTTTCCAGGATGAGATCCCACAGTTGTCCCCCACTTGCATGCTCCATGATAAGGTAGATATATATGTTCATGGGTCTTGATGACCTGGAAGAGCTAGATCATGTTTTGGTGATCCAAGGTGGCCATCAACTCTGGTTCAGAGAGGATGGGAAGCTCGAGGTTACTTTCACCAAGACCTTCACTGAAACCTCTGTCCAGGTAGTTGGATGGCAGGCAGGTTTCACCTGGGCGAAGCTCCCTGCCCCAGAGTCCTGCAGGACCATAAAATGGCCCATGAAGGCAGGTTCAGAGCAGGAGCTCTGCCTCTGCAGCACTACACTGCTCTGACTACTTTCATTGCTCATCCTGAGCCCGATCAAGTATGGTAGCTAAAAAATAATAATAATAAACCAAAACAAAAAAAATAGAAAACAAAAACAAAAGATAGGAAAAAAAAAACCCCAATATCCAAAGACCACGATCACCAGCCACCAACCACCACCAAATGTGCTGCTGTGGAGTCTGACAGGTCACCACCAAGAGCTTCCTGTACTTTTGGACAAAAAACCCAGCTGTAGCCACTCTCTTATATTCTGCAGTTTGAAATTCCCTCACAATGGCTCCTTTTGAAGTTGGAGCAAGAAATGACCCGGTCGTATCTGGGCATGATCTCCCCCAGTGGTCACCTCACTTTTGGGCCTTCAGGACCTTTCCCAATTTCATAATAAGAATTAGAAAGGACTGTGGAAGGTTTTTTGCTTTAGTGGGTTACGGGTACCGATATTGACTTGTTTAGAAATTAAAATTTGTAGGATACTCAGCAGTCTTTTCATTTGAATCTGAAAATCTGTAATATCTTTGTAGCTTTGAAAGACCTCATCATATGTACATGCTTCGTTGCTGCCCTGAACTGAGCAGATTTCCTCCACTGGACCCTTATCCCATGAGGGACTACCTCCCCTTGGGCAGAGCAATGGAGCCAGCCATCTAGGAACTGAGTCTTCTGTTAGCTCCAGAGAAGCTTTTCTTCCTACAAGTTGTTCTTGGTGGGTAAAAAGAAATAAAATTGATAAACCTTTAGCCACCTTAATGAAAAGAAGGAGACTGAAAACTCAGATTACTAAAATTCGTGATAAAAAAGGGAAATGTCATGACAGACACTATTGAAATACAGAAGATAATTAGAAACTACTTTGAAAATTTGTACTCCAGTCAAAATAGAAAATCCCAAAGACACCAGCAAATTTCTAGAGGCACATATAATCTGATAAAACTGAATCAGGAGGACATACACAAATTAAACAGAACAATGTCAAGCAAGGAAATAGAAGACACCAACAAAAGCCTACCAACCAAGAAAAGCCCAGGACCAGATGAATTCTCAGCCGAGTTCTACAAGGTCTTCAGAGAAGAATTAACACCAATACTCCTCAATTTATTCCATGAAATAGGCATGGAGGGAACCCTTTCAAACTCATTCTATGAAGCTAGAATTACCCTAATACCAAAACCAGAAAAAGACAAATCAAGGAAAGAAAACTTCAGACCAATATCTCTGATAAACATAGATACACAAATTCTCAATAAAATTCTGGCAAATTGCACACAAAAATATATCCAAAAGATAGTGCACCACAATCAAGTGGGGTTCAACCCAAGGATATAAGGTTGGTTCAACATACAGGAATCAATAAACATAATACATATCAATAGACTTAAAGACAAGAATCATATGATTATCTCAATAGATGCTGAGAAAGCATTTGACAAAAGATAGCACCTCTTCGTGTTCAAAACACTGGCAAAACTAGGGAGAGAAGGAATATACCTCAACATTATAAAAGCTATCAATGCTAAGCCCAAGGCCAACATCATTCTAAATGGAGAAAAACTGAAAACATTCCCTCTAAAAAAGGAACAAGACAGGGATGACCTCTTTCACCACTGCTATTCAACACAGTCCTGGAAACTCTAACTAAAGCAATCAGACAGATGAAAGAAATTGAAGTGATAAGCATAGGAAAAGAAGAACTCAAACTATCACTATTTGGTGATGATATGATTCTATATTTAGAAGATCCAAACAATTCCACCAGAAAACTTCTAGATTTAATAAATGAATTCAGCAAAGTAGCAGGATATAAAATCAATACCCGTAAATCAAATGCCTTTCTATACATAAGTGATGAATCCACTGCAAGAGAAATCTTCAGAATTTGTCCCATGCACAATAGCCTCAAAAAAAAAAAAAAACCTTTGGAATCAATCTAACAAAAGAGTTAAAGACTTCTACAATGAAATCTACAGAACGTTAAAGAAATAAATTGAAGAAGACCTTAGAAGATGGAAAGATCTCCCATGTTCTTGTATAGGCAAAATTAATATAATAAAAATGGCCATACTAAAATTGCTATACAGATTTAATACAATTCCTATTAAAATCCCAATAACATTCTTCATAGAACTAGAGAAAGCAGTTATGAAATTCATTTGGAAAAATAAGAGACCCAGAATAGCTAAGGCAGTTCTTAAACAAGAAGAGTGAGGCAGCAGGCATCACAATACCAGACCTTAAACTACACTATAGAGCAATAGTAACAAAAATGGCATGGTATTGTACTAAAATAGACTTGTAGACCAATGGTACAAAATAGAAGACACAGAGACCAACCCACATAAATACAGCTAAATCATACTAGGCTCCCAAAACATACATTGGAGAAAGATAGCCTATTCAACAAATGATGCTGGGAAAACTGGAAATCCATATGTAGCAAATGAAATTAAACCTCTATCTCTCACCCTGCACAAAAATCAACTCAAAGTGGGTCAAAGACTTAGGCATTGGAACTATTAGCCACTTCTATTAGGCACTGCCTAATAGAAGAAAAAGCAGGCCCAAATCTTCATCATGTTGGCTAAGGGTCTGACTTCCTGAACAAGATTCTGAAACCACAAGAAGTAAATCAAGAATCAACAAATGGATAGATTCAAACTAAAAAAGTTTCTTCTCAGAAAAGGAAACAATCAGTAATGTGATGAGAGAGCCTACAGAATGTCAAAAAAATCTTTACCCCATGTACCTCAGCAGAGTATTAATCTCCAGGATATATAAAGAACTCAAAAAACTTAAAACCAAAAAACAAATAACCCAATCAATAAATAGGCTAAGGAATTTAACAGACAATTCACAGAAGAAGAAATACACTCGATCAATAAATACATGAAAAAAGTTCTCTAGTAATTAGAGAAATGCAAATCAAAACTACTCTTAAGATTTCATTTCACACCAGTCATAATGGCAGTTATCAAGAATACAAACAATTATAAGTGTTGGAGAGGATGTGTGTGGGGGAAAGTATACTCTTACATTGCTGGTGGGACTGCAAATTGGTGTAACTACTTTGGAAAGTAGTGTGGAATTTCTCATAAAAATTGGAATGGGACCACCGTTTGACCTAGCTATCCCAGTTTATACCCAATAGCTAAACTATGCAACCAATCTAGATGCCCTTCAACAGATGAATGGATAAAGAAAATATGGTACACATACACAATGGAATAATACTCAGCCTTAAAGAAGAATGAAATTATGGTATTTGTAGGTAAATAGATGGAACTAGAGAATACCATGCTAAGTGAAATAAACCAGTCTCCCCCAAACCAAAAGCTGAATGTTTTCTCTGATAAGCAGATGCTGATCCATAGTTGGGCAGGGGGATAGAGAAGAATGAAGGAACTTTTGTTTGTGTAGAAGGGAGTAAGGGAAGGGGTGGGGTTGTGGAGATAGGAAAGATGATAGACTGAGACAGACATTATTACCCTACATACATGTATGATTACATTAATGGAGTGACTCTGCTCCACGCACAGTCAGAGGAATAAGAAGTTGTGCTCCACTTCTAAGCACAGCTCACAGTTGAGCAAAGTCCCTTAGGGAAAATGAACCTTGTCTTCAGGACCATCACACACGCACTCTGCTCCTTAAAAGGGACACACTGACTCCTACAAACCTTGCTGCTTTGCTCCCTTGGTACAGTCCCTTAAGGCAGCCCAGTCCCCATTCTCAGTCTGCACAAATGACCCCTGAGAAGAAACCAGCAGTCACTTTGTTCCTCACTTTGAAAGAGCTCCTGCTCTGGAGTTTCAATCCATCTCATTTTCTTGCTTTAGCAGCCCCCTCATGTCTTTAAAAATACAGTTGTCATTTTTCTCTCTCAGTGGCCAGTTACCACAGGGGAGGTTGGTGCTGGGGCCTACTGTGCTTCATCCTGAGAAGGCCCTTGACTTTTCTTGTTTTACTGGATTTATGCCTTTGCTCATTAAGTTATTTCCTTTTTAAGAAGTCAATTTTGCCCCTGCCCTTATTTTTCTGAACAATACAAATGCATTTTTTAAGCCCTTAGCCATTTGGTGAGTTATTGTAGCTTAGACACAAGTACACACTCCGCTTCTGGGTTTGCTGCCTTCTCACTAAGCGCTGAGTTTTATTCCCCCGCTTTGGAACTCTGTTATTCTTACTCCAGGAGTTATTGATCACCTTACCATTCTGTCCCCAGGGTGACCGACTATGAGGACTGCAAATGGAAAGGTAAAGTTCCTCCTGCAAGCTGCTGACTTTTAGATTCAATATTGACTTGAAGTGGTCAGTTGCTGTCTCCACTGCAGCTAGCTCTGTGTGCTCCACTGAGCATACTCCCCACGTTTTTAATTTCATCTTTCTTTTATTGTTGTATTCGCCCAGCCCCAGTTCCAGCTCTGGTTTCAGACAGTGAGTCCTGGTGCTGGAGGTGGGGGACTCTTAGTCCCTTCACTCCCACCAGCAAGTACCCAGGCTGCCACCGCACGCTCTGGGGCAAGCAAGGCTCAAACAATGTGGCTTCTCTGTTTCTGATTCTTTAAAATGTTTCTTCTCTTTGGTTATATTTTTCTTTTTGTTTTCATATTCCATATCTTTGTGCTATGTTTTAGCAAGGGCTAGACAGTTCATAAAAATGTGAAAATATTATAGTCACTAGGCAAAAATTCAGGGACACATATTATCCCATATTTTGGGCAAACTTTTTCCTGATTTTAATTCTGAAGTACATTTACTAGGTTCTTTTGGTTTTTCTTTTTAAACTAATAGGTAATATTCCATCCCAAACTGGTTGAAAGCACTAATGATACTTCTTTTTCTTCTTCTTTTTCCACATGCTTTAGATAATGATTGGGTTAATTTTGTTTCTAAGAAAAGTAGATAGAATCTAAGTTTATTTTCCAAGAGAATACATGATATGTTGATTAAAAATGACTCGTACTTTAATTTTTCTGCTTGACTCTCATCTTCTGTAGGAACTTAATTTTTAAAGTCTGTTTTTTTTTTAGAGAATTTAACAGTTTGTTACTG